ATATTCGCTGGATTTTATTTTCACAAAATCATCCCTTAAGTGAAAATAGCGAAAATAAAGTATTCTACAGTAGTCCTTGTTTGTTTGTTTGGGATTTCTGCTTAAATAGCCAGCCATGTGTTTGTGATTTTATACATTTCACTATACAAATATGAGGGGTTGCTGTAACCTTGCATTATTTTGTAGTTGAACTTCAACAATATTGACCAAAATTTCAAAACCTGAAACCAATGTTATTTTTTTTTAAATGCTGAATTACTATAACAATAAGAAAAATCAAAATAGTGATAACAACTATTAGTATTCTAGCTCATTGTCACACACTGCCAGCTTCAATATATATATAAACATATTTTTAATAATATATACCTAACATTTCTATTTATGGAGGATGTATCTGCTCTATTAGAAGTTCCTGTATACTTAAAATTTAGCATTATTAATTAATTGCAATGTGAGTTTGATATCCCTGTAAATCAACCAATATATATTTGAGATGCTCACCTAATAGACTAAATACTGTATATCCTTTCAAATTTAATGATATGTTGAGTGTACGTGAAAGTACACCCTGTTCCTTATTTTCAAATTTGCTGACAGTAGTAAATCTTTAACTATACATGAATTAGTCACATGGCTTTTACAACAAATATTTATTCTATTTTTAAAATATCTAATTGGCTTGCCAAAACAATACATTAAACCAAACATATCTGAAAACTGATGGCAATTAAGTCTCTTGTTCTCACACAGCTTATGTAGAGAGGTTCAGTGCCTGTCTCACGATGTTATAATTTTAATTGGTCAACTCTCAGCCACAGAGTGACTAATGTGGGTCACAGCACTTAAATCTTTCCTACTAAATGAAATTATATATATTTATTAGATATGAAATAAACTCTCCATTGTTTTGTTTATAATGTGTTTATTGTTGTTTTATATGCGTGCACTTTTGCTGCGTTTCTGATAATGATTTTTTCAGGCAACATTTCCCCCACATATTGGCCGACAGTCCGTACATCTTTTCCGACAGTCCGTTCATCTTTTCCGTCAGTCCATACATCTTTTCCGACAGTCCGTACATCTTTTCCGACAGACTGTACATCTTTTCCGACAGTCCATACATCTTTTCCGACAGTCCATACATCTTTTCCTACAGTTCACACATCTTTCCAACAGTCCATACATCTTTTCCGACAGTCCGTACATCTTTTCCAACAGTCCGTACATCTTTTCCGACAGTCCATACATCTTTTCCGACAGTCCATACATCTTTTCCTACAGTTCACACATCTTTCCAACAGTCCGTTCATCTTTTCCGACAGTCCGTACATCTTTTCCGACAGTCCGTACGTCTTTCCGACAGTCCGTACATCTTTTCCGACAGTTCACACATCTTTCCAACAGTCCGTACATCTTTTCCAACAGTCCGTACATCTTTTCCGACAGTCCATACATCTTTTCCGACAG